TACAACTTATTCATTGAACATAAAAGTTGTATTCTTTGTTAGTTTGTCATCATAATGTGCTATCATGATATACAAGGGTAGTATTTATAATTGTAAATATGGCCTTGTTGATCGTTGTTACATAAAATATTCCCATTATGGGATAAATGGATACGGATCAAACACCACTGTACCCATATATCATATGCCAGTGTTTATTTTGTGAGAGGTTGATAATCTTAGTATGCTTAGAATAAATATTAATTTACAATATTTTCTTCGAGGTTTTCACACCAATGGTCAGCTTAATGCACATTGCAACAGCTAGCTTATATATGTGCAAGATCTGGTTGTCATTGCCATACTGAATATTTACTACTCTGATGAGGACATGTTTTATCTACAACTGTATGTATATGACTTTTTATCTTTGTTATTTTGCGTTCTATAATCAACAACCATATTCTATATAAGTATGCCTGGCTAATATAGCGATGTTTATAATCAAACGGGCATAATGAGTTTCTATAACCGGTTTCAGTAACCAATGAAATCCATGTTTACCGTGGTGTGAGACAAGGTTGCGTGTTGTCTTCCATGTTATTCTCTATTGTTATTAATGACCTGATTGACAGTGAACTAAACTGTGGTATGTTCAATGATCCTTTCATACAGGATATACGTTACTTTTCCCTTTACACAAGGACCCTGTTTTGGGGGATAGTCAAGACTGGTAGTTATCTTGCACTGGCGCTTTATATTATGCATCGATACTGACTGATTTATACTGTATACAGATATACTAGTGTTAGTGTAAGTGCAGAATGATAGGTTACAGTTATGGTGGGCAGTGGCGCTTATGTATGTATGTATGTATGTATGTATGTATGTATGTATGTATGTATGTGTGTGTGTGTGTGTGTGTGTGTGTGTGTGTGTGTGTGTGTGTGTGTGTGTGTGTGTGTGTGTGTGTGTGTGTGTATGTATGTATGTATGTATGTATGTATGTATGTATGTATGTATGTATGTATGTATGTATGTATGTATGTATGTATGTATGTATGTATGTATGTATGTATGTATGTATGTATGTATGCGAATGTAAGTAAACTTTGGCTGGCATCGACACAGTTAAATGGATGAGTATGTATGGTAGGTGGGATGACAGACCTATGTATGTGTGTATTGCTATAGTAACGGATACTTGTACTGGAGGACATGCGGGATGGGATTCCTGTGTTCACTTGTATTAATGGTGTGTTTTTTCCTTTTAGTGTTTCTTTTTTACTATACACCATATGTTCATTGACGACTTTAATTTCCCATGCGTCATAATGGCCGGGCACTGTAAACACCCCTTAGAAATATCTAGTATTTATCTGCTGTACAATGCGTGACACTTAACAATGTATCATCTTCTGAAAACAATAAAGTATAGGGTGACAACATAATTATTGACACTCTGTTTTCAGCAACGACCCCTCTAAATCCAGATTAACCAAGACACCTGCATGATGGTTGTCGACAACAATACACAGGTCTCAGTTCTGGATTCAAAATTCAGTCGGGGGCCATTTGTTCAAAGCGATCATAATACGACGAGTGTTCGTAACTCCCTCGTTCTATTATCACAAGACTCCAGACAACTGTAGCGCTAAGGTAGCTTTGTGCATGTAGGTCCTACAAATTAAACCATGTCTTTAACTCAAACTATGCTTTATGTCACAGTGCGAGATGTTTCAATAATACCATTGCTTTATGTGGTACTTGCAGAACATTGACCTGAAAAGGAAAAGTGTGCCGTATATTTAACCTTTTTACATTATTGTACTTTTACATTTATTGTAAAAATAGTTTTAAAATAGTTTTATGAAGTTCGTGTGTTCTTCAAGTTGTAAGCCTGTAACAAATCTTAGCCACGACGTGCTCACATCGATTGGTCAAGCTACATGTGACCCTCTGGCCATGCCCTCACGTTTGAACTTTGGGTCACTGCATGTACTTATTCTACGAAGCTCGCTCTGCACATATTAAACAGGATAATAGATAATTCGATTTGTTTGCATACATATGAATTGTATTTTTTTGCATTAATGCTGCAGTATATTAAAACTAAAATATCAAATTAAACTATGCAATCTTGTTTAATGTAATTTAAAATTCAGCTATTATCTGTAAGTCCCCATGGTCACTAGTATGGTGATCTACCTTCAGTTGTTGGCAATCTATAGCCTGTTTTTACATTGTCTTGTCATTTCTAATTAACATGTTTTAGATTTACTTACTAGTTTTAAATGGATATCTGTGATACACTATAAGTTTTACTGTTCTTCGTCAACAGGTTTTAATTTCTAATTTTATTGATGCATGATATAATCATTAATTGTTCTCGTCTAGATATGGCTGAAATATTGCCGATGTGACGTTAAATATTAACTCACTCACTCACTCAGCTATTATCTGTTTACGCCAATGTGGTAAACAAGACCTATAAATTGTCAGCTACCGTAATAACTGATGTATAACTCTTGTATTTATCATTGTGTCTGTTTGTCTTACTACAACCTTTATACAGTACAACTTATTCATTGAACATAAAAGTTGTATTCTTTGTTAGTTTGTCATCATAATGTGCTATCATGATATACAAGGGTAGTATTTATAATTGTAAATATGGCCGTGTTGATCGTTGTTACATAAAATATTCCCATTATGGGATAAATGGATACGGATCAAACACCACTGTACCCATATATCATATGCCAGTGTTTATTTTGTGAGAGGTTGATAATCTTAGTATGCTTAGAATAAATATTAATTTACAATATTTTCTTCGAGGTTTTCACACCAATGGTCAGCTTAATGCACATTGCAACAGCTAGCTTATATATGTGCAAGATCTAGTTGTCATTGCCATACTGAATATTTACTACTCTGATGAGGACATGTTTTATCTACAACTGTATGTATATGACTTTTTATCTTTGTTATTTTGCGTTCTATAATCAACAACCATATTCTATATAAGTATGCCTGGCTAATATAGCGATGTTTATAATCAAACGGGCATAATGAGTTTCTATAACCGGTTTCAGTAACCAATGAAATCCATGTTTACCGTGGTGTGAGACAAGGTTGCGTGTTGTCTTCCATGTTATTCTCTATTGTTATTAATGACCTGATTGACAGTGAACTAAACTGTGGTATGTTCAATGATCCTTTCATACAGGATATACGTTACTTTTCCCTTTACACAAGGACCCTGTTTTGGGGGATAGTCAAGACTGGTAGTTATCTTGCACTGGCGCTTTATATTATGCATCGATACTGACTGATTTATACTGTATACAGATATACTAGTGTTAGTGTAAGTGCAGAATGATAGGTTACAGTTATGGTGGGCAGTGGCGCTTATGTATGTATGTATGTATGTATGTATGTATGTATGTATGTATGTATGTATGTATGTATGTATGTATGTATGTATGTATGTATGTATGTATGTGTGTGTGTGTGTGTGTGTGTGTGTGTGTGTTTGTGTGTGTGTATGTATGTATGTATGTATGTATGTATGTATGAATGTATGTATGTATGTATGTATGTATGTATGTATGTATGTATGTATGTATGTATGTATGTATGTGTGTTTGTGTGTATGTATGTATGTATGTATGTACGTACATATGTATGTATGTATGTATGTATGTATGTTTGTGTGTATGTATGTATGTATATATGTATGTTTGTGTGTGTATGTATGTATGTATGTATGTATGTATGTATGTATGTATGTATGTATGTATGTATGTATGTATGTATGTATGTATGTATGTATGTATGTATGTATGTATGTATGTATGTATGTATGTATGTATGTGTGTTTGTATGTATGTGTGTTTGTGTGTGTATGTATGTATGAATGAATGAATGAATGAATTGGACAGATTCGCCCTGAATTGGACAGATTCTATAGAATCCACAGTAAACTGGTTCCACATAGACTTTGGAATATGTGTATACTATACAATATCCCAACCAGACCTGTGTATGCACTTGTGAAACTAGGAATGCTACCAATAACACCTGGTCAGTGTCTAATGTGTAATGAAGAGTGCAATGATATAATAAAACACCAACTGGTATATTGTGCAGCTTTAGCTGATGCAAGAAACATTCTTTATGAGCATCTGTTTGACACATTAAGCCTGGAACAGTACATCTGTATCGAAGACTGTGCAGATGACGAAGTCAGAATTGTGACATTCCTAGGTGGAATAACCTCTATTATAGAGAATATGAGCCTTGACACCTGGGCTGAATTCATAGGTTCTGTATCACGTGACATTAGCTCCTGGAGCCTGCGATCACTGCTTTATCTATAGACAGCGATCTATAGACAATGACCTAATTCTCACCAGAATCATGTAACTATGTGGCTTTGTGAAACTTCATGTTTTCTTTTTATCATATTTCTGTAAGTATGTTGTGTTTAAAGAACATCCAATGTTTGTCACTCTCCGAAGCTACTGGAGGAAATAAAGATCATTCATTCATTCATTCATTCATGCATGCATGTATGCATGCATGTATGTATGTATGTATGTATGTATGTATGTATGTATGTATGTATGTATGTATGTATGTATGTATGTATGTATGTATGTATGTATGTATGTATGTATGTATGTATGTATGTATGTATGTATGTATGTATGTATGTATGTATGTATGTATGTATGTATGTATGTATGTAACCAAGTTGATAATCTGAAGTCACCTCTACGACAGCAGGGTTACGGGAGCCTGTTGAGTCATTGATACAGTTCTCGTGAAATACAGCTGATTTTATGCCAGTGCCCAACTGTTACACCTGCACTATCATTTAATACAACAACGTAAACAGTACTGATTAATCAGACTTTATTTTGCTGAAGCGTAGAGATCAAATTATATTACGAGGTGAAATAAATTAACAATATACAGGGTTACAGGTAAGTCAATATATAATACTTCGTATGTATGTATGTATGTATGTATGTATGTATGTATGTATGTATGTATGTATGTATGTATGTATGTATGTATGTATGTATGTATGTATGTATGTATGTATGTATGTATGTATGTATGTGTGTGTATGTGTATGTATGTATGTATCTGTGTGTGTGTGTGTGTCTGTCTGTCTGCATGTATGTATATGTGTGTGTGTGTGTGTGTGTGTGTGTGTGTGTGTTTGTGTGTATGTGTATATGTGTGTGTACGGATGGGCGTGTATGTATGTGTCGATAGATAGATGGTAGACAGTTAGATAGGTAACAGACAGACAGATGACAGTCAGTCAGACAGACAGACTGACAGACAGATAGATAGATAGAAATAGATAGATAGATAGATAGATAGATAGATAGATAGATAGATAGATAGATAGATAGATAGATAGATAGATAGATAGATAGATAGATAGATAGATAGATAGATAGATAGATAGATAGATAGATAGAGTAAAAGTAGAAAAAGATTACATATATTATATTACAGGTGTCTACATGACCACCGAGTCTGGTTCGAATCTCAGTCAACAGTGACTCACTTCCACGTGTCATATTAGCATTTAGACCATAGACCCCAACTGGCTAACAAGGTTTACACAGTTCAAACATGATGTACATACAATGGCTGCACATCTCTACGAATGATCAAATGAATCCAATTCTATTCCAATGATTTACCCATTTGAAAGATAAGTGCGCTGTACATAATATATTATTTAGACTGATGAAATACCATCCACAAGGCTAAGTGACACACGGGATGACTTTCCACATGGTCAATAGTTCCACGTTTTCTATCTGAATGATAGAATACATAACATATACGCTGATACTTTGCTGCCGTAGCTGGTTGTGGCAATATTTTACTATACCACACACCCATCGCATGTTTCACTTCTGTTAGATGGAAATACATACACTGGAACTTGTATTTGCTTCGCATTTGACAGAATAACTTTTCATACTCATGATCTTTCTGACCGAAGTGAAACACCGAGGAACACATCATGAAGAGCACCTGAATTCTTTATGTGACCGAACTGATGATCAAATACGTTCTCGTTTTAGATGACTGGATGGTGAACACATTGCAATTGTATAATAAACATCAATAAACTATTATCAAGTCAATATCAACATTGTAAGAGTGCAGTAAGGGTATATTGGAATGATAAGCAAATGATATCGTCATGGCTTATTCAGAAGCAATAATTAAGTGGGATTCATATTCATATATGTTTGAGGTGCTGTATATGTACAAGTAGACGACGTAAGCTTGCGTGTTTGTGCATCAGTGTAATCGACAAGTTAAAGTGTCGTCACGTGTAAGGAACAACTCTTAATGTGACAAATGATGTGATGCATGATGTGACACATGGTGTGGTGCATGATGTGAAATTATGTAACAACATAGACGGAAGCCGCGGTGGCCGAGCAGGCTAGGTGGCTGACTTTGAGTGCTGGCGATTAGGTGCCTGACTCTCAGGGTGTGGGTTCGAATCCCGCATGGGAGTCAACTCCACAAAACAAAAAAAAGTACTAGAATCTGTACTGAGAAAGTGTAATCCCTATTATAACATATGTTACATTTGCCCACCTTGTAAATGGCATTGTGTGTTCATAGACGCGTTGCAGAACACTGGAATAGAATGAGCAGGCAGAGACGATAATTTCCCTGTATCAATACACATTCATATATAACATACTTGTTACCTATAAGCCTGGCGTTGCGTTTGAAGCTAAGGTTACAAATACAGAGGCAATGCCTCTATGTGACGTAGTGACATGTTCAGACACTGGAAAAGTCTGTGGTATTTGGGTCTCTAGTTTGGCATTAAGTTCGGATGTTGGCATAGGTATTAGCAGGGTCTGTACTCTGGATACATTGCTGCGCAAAGTCATGAAACAACTGCACATCACTCTGAAAAGAGAAAACAAATTCTGAGATCATTTCTTTATGCGTGGTTTCTCAAGTATGATTTCAGTTCATCTCAGATTTATGTGTTTATTATGGTGCATTTTTCAACTTCCTTCTGATCTGATGTTCAACAATCGGACATATATAAGCGCAAGAAATGTATACAAACTAAAACACATGCCTTTTGTAGGCTATGTAACATTTGGAGTTTAGCAAAATCAATGTTTCGACAGCACATATAATAATACTATCGAATATATACAATATACAATCAAGCACCGTTGTCTCAAAGGGAACTACGTAACTACTCGGAGGTCTGACACAACCGCAAGCGGATGACCAAATAAGGTAGACGCAGGGGCACCTGTTTACTTCGAGACAGCAGTAGGTTCGAGACAACGATGTTCGACTGTACATGGGTGAACTTGTACCTGGGTGAACTGTAGGTCAGGGCAACATCGTAGGAACATCCTCACGTGACCGATGACGTCAACCCGGGTGTCTTCACGAATACCAGACAGAATATTACCCATGATGCAGAGCGAGACAGCAAGTTTTCCGTGGTTTTTGCTGCAGTTTAAAACGTTACGTGTGAACATGCGTCATTGTTAGTTCTGTTTACTGAAGTCAGGAAATGTGTCTGTCGTGGATCGGGTTATCTAATAGTATACAATTAACTTGAGCTGAACTTGGCATCTCCATCCATTAAATAGGCCAATGAGTCACACAGTCAGAACTACTTCAAACACTCAAGCAATGGGATATATACAAACGATGTGTCAATCATTGTGATATAATTAGACATGGGTTTCCGGAAGTATGTCTATTTCTGGAAATAGATATTACAATGCCTTGACATCACTAAGCACTACTGAGTGATATGTTATCATTCTATCAGCATGTTTAATTTGAAACTGAGTATAAATAGGTGCAAACTTCGATTACTTTAAAACTTAAAATATATATGATAATCAATTCATGACCAGAATAACAATACGTTTTACTCATAGATTATTACATTTAGGCAGTTGAACATATTTTATATTTTAATTCTGGAGGCATTTCTACCTGTGAACAACAACAACAGGGGTGGTCTGAGTTGAGATGTCTTGCAGGTCCACGTGGTTGAACAAATGCGATGTCACAGTTTCCATGGTCAGTTGGGCATCAGCGTTGACCATCTTCACCCTCCGTGGACTGCCTCCCTGTGTTACAGGTGTGAAATAATGCTAGACAAAAACACCCTGGTGTTCTTTGAATACTTCTACTATTATGTTGTGTACTATGTCCCATATTAAAAGCCTATACATCACCTATATATGAGGGCAGAAAGGAATGAACTCACATGCATGTATATTGTCTTGATCATTATGTCCGATATTAAAAACTTGTATTTTTGTGTGGAAGGCAGCATCACTCTTATCTTGTCAAATACTCGTATAGACGTTCCTCATCAAACAGGAGATGTAACAGGTTGCGTTGTCGTAAATGGCAGTGGCATACAGACACCTACTTGCGCATTCGTGACCAACTCGTGTTCCTTCGGGACAAGCCGAATAGCGACTCGTACCCCTCACATTGGCGTATGAACATCGGAACTACTTCAATCAAGAACGACAACTTCTTGTTTGATTCCAATGATACCTAACATCACCGAAGTACTGGCATATTGTATTGATGGTTTGTTTGGGTTTATTTTATCAATATATTTCTTTTAAAGAATTGAAAATATTGATACTAACAGAAGATGAAATAACTATTTGTATAACTCATATTCTAATGTGATATTATCAGCGATTCACCATATATTTCCAAATGAATAATTCTGAATAGGGTTATGAATAACAAATGGGATTTGATTATGGAATATGCTAATAACTTTTTTTTAAATTCAGCTTCATGAAAATCCCAAAACAGATATTCAAAAATGACTTTAAAATATTTCACAAACTGAACATTCGTGTAACCTTGATGGAATTTTAAAATGAATACGCTGAATACATTATGAATGACCGCAGAAACGTCTGACAAAAATATCCCCAGAGATGTGAAATGTAAGTCCAATGTTACGGATTAAAGTTGATTTGATTGGTTATATAGTATTATAGTGTTAGAACCTCGTAGTGATTTAAAATTATGATTACTCAAAATATCAGAAAGCGCACGTAAAATCTCCAAAAGATGAGAACTTGCCCATCCTTCGAGAGTTTCAAAGCCCATTTGAAGACACATCTCTTCAAAAAAATGTATTCAGATTGACATTTCATCTTTGCCATGTTCAGCGCTTTGAGCATATGATTTATGGATAAGGCGCTATAGAAATGCTCATTTATCATTATTATTATTATTATTAAGAAGTCCCACAAGATCGTCAGAAAAACATCACAATTATGTTAGTAATGTTCTATGTCCACTGTCAATATGACAATACAGTTTTTTATGAGTTTTTCAACCATCACGTAATACCATAAACCATTTAAATAATCGGGATCACTTTTATCAAAGCACCGCAATCATTACGCGCGTTCTGATTGGTTAGATTGGTTCGCTCATGGCGAGAAGGCCTTACTTTTGTAGCCAGCTGGAGGTTCATCATGGAGAGGTCTACTGCCAGGTTGGTGTGACTCGTTGTCGTCACAGTGATCCCCCCGTGCGTCTTGGACCTGCCCTCTGCTTCAGCTAAGCCAAGCTGAAACAGGAACGTTAAAATATTGAATATTCACCCTCAGTACTAGGAACATGTATATTACTGGAATGTTGAATAAACAGATGGCAATACCATGTGGCCAGGTTTTACTCAACTTCTGTCACAGTTCAAACATGTAGGTGTCATGAATTAAAGAAAAACTAAGTTAGGTGAAAATATCACCAACAGAAATTAAATAGCTACTGCTTTGGAATTATTATTACCAATTTAGAGCATGAAGCATAAGAGACGAACATCATTCTTTGACTATTGCTTTAACTATTTGAAAAGATTCTATTTGCATACATTTGGCGTGACGACGATGATGTTGTGGACGTTGTTCTCTTCTACCAGTTTCCACAACAACTTCACCAATCTAGAGGGTGGGGCAACGGCCTGCAGGAACCCCCTCAGACACGTCAGAGTCTAAAAAGAGGAATACACATGGCTGCCATGATTCTCACCAGGGAGCCTGTCAGCTCTATTTGGATTCAGCAATGAGAGTTGTTCCTATACAGATGTTCCATCAAAAATTCTTTTTCAGGGTTCAATTAAGCAATTAAGTGTTTATTAAATCATGTTTATGAGGAATATAGAGTCTCAAGTTATTATTGTCTCATGATGTCCACCTACCGGTCCAACATGCACAATGAATTCAGAGTTACCATCCACCCACATTCTGCGTTTGTTGGGAGCATCTGAAAAGTATTAGAGCACAAACAGTTAGACTATCACAGAACATATAACTGTAGCCTCATCATACAACGTTAGGTCTTGGCATCACTATGCTATGTACCCTATACATGTCGACAAAACTATGGATCGGGGTTTGTGTCTTTCAATAATGTCATATTCCCTTCACTCATCCACAACCCGTGAAGATACGGGTTAGAATATTGATCTTCAGTAACCCATGCTTGTCGTAAGAGGCGACTAACGGGATCGTGGCTCGCTGGCTTGGTTGACACATGTCATCGGTTCAAAGTTGCGTAGATCGATGCTCATGCTGTTGATCACTGGATTGTCTGGTGCAGACTCGATTATTTACAAACCGCCGCCATATAGCTTGACTATTGCTGAGTGCGGCGTAAAACTAAACTCACTCAGTCACTCACTCACTCATCCACAGATCCGGGAATAGAACATACTTCTACACGTGCCGCCCATTTTACGCACAATGAATGTGTACCGTGTTAGTGGCATGGCATATTTACGTCGACACCTGGTGTCACCTCTGTTTGGTAAGGACTCATTCACATATGTACATGATATACTGGGATTCACACAATGGACTCTGCTACCAGCACAAATGTCTTACGATCACGGAAAGTTTTTATTTCCATTGCTTCCACGATTACGGTCATTTATATATATATAGTGACTGAAAGAGGAATTATGTGTTTTTGGATCACCAGTAAACACCATGGAGGTGAAAGATGTTGTATGAGCGTGCATTTCCACTTTTCAGGAAGGCATCAGCCTTAAGTATTGATCAATACGTATTTGAAAATAGTGTACTTACCATCTCGAGTTTCAGACAACAGCATCTGTGCACATGTTCATATATGTACACATTATCTAGATAGTTAAAGCTAACTTCAACAAAAGGAAAATAATGACTTTTAAGAAATCGAAAATTTATGACATTTTGAAACTGGAACTGCAGATAATGTGGATGACCTAGTTTTTGCTTCATTCACTATTTATAATTAATGACAGTCAACCATATGCAAACATATTCTTAGGTTTCTCGCTAAACGCTCTCAGTGTGCGACTTCAATGAGTGAGTAAGTTGAAATTTAACCTCACATCGGTAGTATTTCAGCCATGTAGTGACGATAAAACATGATTTAGCTATAAGAAATATCTGTCACAAAGGACACTAAAACAGTAAAACAGTGATCACAAATTGAGTACAAAAACTAAGTCATTTCAAAAGATAAACGATCTTGTTCAACACAAAGATCAATATTATATGTACTGCGTTTAACATACGAGTCATAGACCGACAGTCACCAAAACTAGAGCAGCTTACTGGGTAATATGGGGACTTACTGACCTGAGACAACTGTTTCAGAGTATGTCCGTCAACCGTGGTGTCCATGCCGCTGTTGCTGTAGCTGGTGGTAAAGCTTGCGACGTCCATACTGGTGCAGCCGAATGTCGTCATCTCTACCAGACAGTGGAAGACACATTCGTACTGGGCCTGAGATTGAAAAGACCAGACAGTGATGATGTGTGGCAATACATATGTCGGCAACAAATCAGTTCCAAGGTTGGAGCCCAATTTGTAACAAAGAAGTTGCATTTAACACGTCAAAATTTAATTCTGGAAACTCAAAAGCCCAGACACTTGATACTCATAAACATAATTTCATTTATGCACAGCCTTCAAAACATAAATTTGGAGCAAAAGTAACTATTTTCGCCCATTAGTTTTCGAGAAAATGTTTTTTTCATTTATCATCCTTGGCATAAATTCATAACTGCATGTTGAAATTTGTCAAATCCTTGGTCAGAAACTGGCCACAGTGCGGAGAATTTTAGGAATTTGGGGTTTCTAGAATTATGTTGTGACGGGTTCCTTCCATTTTGTGTAATTTAAATGCTGATTTTGAAAACAATGTTAATTGTGCTACACAGAACTGAAAGTTCCACCATTTCAAAATAGATAAAGACCGTATATATACGAGTGCTTCGGTGATATTAAGTACCAATGTCATCAAACAGGAAAAGAGTTATAGTTCTTGTTTGAAGTAGTTCTGATGTTCATACGCCGATATGAAATCCTCTTAGATGGGTACGAGTCGCTATTCGGCTTGTCCAGGAATAACACGAGTGGGTCTCAAATTCACGCACATGAGTTTGTCTACATAACGTCTTTCATGGGTCCAATTTAAACAATATATTAAAATATAAATAATCAACTTTAATTTTCAACATTTGGGCTTACATTTCACATGTACATTTTAGTCGGACGTTTCTGGGGCCATTCGATTTTTTTTAGTGTAGTCATTTTAAAATTCCACCAGGGGTGTGGCACAAGGTTACTTGAACGGTTAAAAAAGAGCAATGCAGTATACAAGTGTTTCCGTCATATTAAGCACCATTGGAATAAAGATAGAATAGAGTTATCGTTCTTGTATGAAGTAGTTATGATGTTCACGCGCCAGTATGAAATCCTTCCACAGGGTCACGAGTCGCTATTAGGAATAACACGAGTTGGTGACGAATGCTTCAAGGTATGGCCGTTTGAAACCTGGTCGCCGAAGTAACAAAAGTGGCTGGCCAAGGCAGGATGGGCTTACGATCATATTTTACTGCCGTATGTTTCAGTATCTTGACGTTCCATTCAAAGAAGACTTTTCGATGTAATGCGTAGCTCTAATATAGTGTCACTTTACGTATTTGTTTCAGCATCCTTAACTCAACCCCTGGTGTCATTGCTATTTGGGAGAGATGCAGTCACACAGTCATGATCATGATAAGGTGGGAATCATACAATGGACCTGCTTTTAGCGTAGATGTCTTACCATTACGGAAAGGTTTTGTACAAGTCGGGATCATTTTTACCACAGTACCGCATTGATTATGCAACTTCAAATTGGTATGTCATATCTTCGCACATAACAAGCATCGAGAAGGGGGCGAGTCTTCTCGGGGGGTTCGGAAAGGAGCGAATGGTAACGAATGGTACCAAGCATCAAGAGGGGGGCGAGTCTTCTCGGGGGGTTCGGAAAGGAGCGAATGGTAACGAATGGGGATCATATATTTTCCAAAAGGTAGGCGTGTCCTGCTTCACACACTCAGGTCAGCCTGCCAAAGTCAGCGGTATATAAACTGACAAACACTTGTTGGAAATATATGTGTGAAGCCAACCTACCGCAGTCTGGATCATGTTCTTCCTCTGTCCCCTCATGACTGTCACGTACCCCAGGACATCCACCACCCCCTCCTCACGGGCCTGGTCTATCAGGGAGTCCACGGCGATGTATGTGCCAGTACGCCCAATACCCGCACTGAAATACCCATAAAGCGTATATTTGACCTGTCCATGCCTGACCTCATTAGCCTATCTACCTGTGAAGATCCGGGTTAGAATTGGTCCTCAGTAACCCATGCTTGTTGTATGTGATCGAGTAGTCAGACTCGCTGACTTGGTTGACACATGTCATCGTACCCCAATTTCATAGATAGATGCTCATGATGCTGATCAGTGGATTGTCTGGTCCAGACTCGATTATTTACAGACCGCCGCCATGTATCTGGAATATTGCTGACTGTGGCGTTCAAAACCAACCAACCAATCAAATCATAATTCTATGTCTTTGCATGTTGAGCCTTCACTTCATTTACCAGTGAGGGGAACTTCTTACCCTGTATACGGCTAGATTTCCATCTTACTGAGAACCAAAACTTTCAACTGAAATAAGGATTATCAAATTAAAAAGTTGTTCAGAATAACGATGTTTCAAAGGCTACAATCCAGTAATGTTCGCACGTTAACTGGAGTTAACTAAAATAGTGTGAAGAATCATCAGGAAGTGAATATAGCAGGTCCTCTGTTGCACTTTTTAGTACGATGATGTATTCGAATGCATTTCCGCATACACAGTGTTCAAGCAGTGTTCAAGCAGTGGTTCGGTACCTTGTAACTAACTCAGTCCTACCTGCAGTGGACGAGCAGTGGTAAAGCAGGGGTTTGCTACCTTGTAACTAAGAAGTCCTACCTGCAGTGAACGAGCAGTGGTCCAGCCCTCTCTGCAACTGTCTGTCTGACCAACCAGATGTAGTTGACGAGAGCGAGGGTGTCAGGTACACCGTGGTCAGGCCATGAGGTGAAGTGGAACTGGATGACTGACCGATTCTCTCCAGTCTGTAACAGAAGATGTTGATAGAATTTGTATTAACATGAAAAACAAACTGCAACCATATGTAGCAATTCATCAGCTATTCCACTAATATAGATCATTTTGTACGAAACAAAGTCATTGAAACATCACATTTTGACTACTTATCACTGGTTATTTTCAACATAAAGAAGACATAAAATGAATGTTCCGTGCAAATACTTACTGTCTTGGAAGTGACTTTCATGTGTCTCATTGTAACGCTCGCACGGACTTGGGTTACATCTACCTCAACTTTGAAGTGATCAGTGTTCATTACACCAGCGTTAGGCCAATACTGCTCACATTTGACCTAAAGTAAAAATAATATGCAAATGTTTACAGAATGTCTATTCTTGTAATCAGACAAAATCGTAATCGAATGTTACATTTTAGTCGACTTATATTTTCAACATTTCGTTCATATAATTTTCATGGCTGCTTGCTTTCATCGCCCAACAGAGGGTTGGTTTAATATATATGATGTCTACTTTCGTAGGATGATGGAGATAATTGACATAACGTGAAATCCTACCTTCGCCTCCTCCATCAGACCAGTCAGCATGACCACAGCGCTACAGGAATGTTCCCAAATCATCCTCCAGAAGTCTCCTACTGTGTTCTTGTTGGGAGCTGCAAGTGGTAAACGGTGGCTGATAAATACATTAAACATGTCATTTCTAGGCATATACTGTACAATAATGCAACATCCATAAAGGTTGTTTTTATGGATATACTCATTAGACGGCAACTTAGACGGCATGATAACGGTGATCTTTTTAACTTCACATCATAACAAAATTAACTCATAAAGTTTATCTCACCTTGAGCTGCTATATAAGTCTTCGCCTGGTTGTAACTCTGAAATACAGAAATGGGACGATTTGAGAGTTTATTGCTTGTAGCATCACCTTTTTGTTTGCGAGATATGGATGGCGAAGAAACTCTACCGTCTGGGTCCTGATAACTTTTGCCATAACAATTTTGTTCCTCAGAAAGGGACGTTCTTAATATCCATGTTTCGGAACTCCGGGGATTTATTTTACTGGGAACGATTCGGCTAAGAGGGTTGTGTCCGGGGTCCCAATCCACTAACCGTTCGTAGCGCTACGACATTCGTAAACCTATGATAAACTATAGATGTACTACAGGTCGTAATGTTACGGACGCTTTGTGGATCGGGACCCTCGTCAGGGTTTGAAATATAACCATGACAATATTAACATGACATGCCATTTAATGCAAGAGGACGAGCCAATTAGTAAAGTACACACGTGCATGAGACTGGCGTTGATGTAGTCCGACCCAGGAGTGTCTGGGAGAGGGGCCAGGCGGATACGGTTATGGTCGTCTGAAATATAAATCAAGTCAGTTAAACCAGTATCCACATATAAGGCGTGGTGGGTGAGCTGGTTAAGGCGCCTGGCAGGTGATCCAGCGAGCTTGAGGTGACGGGGTCGAGCCCACCTGTAATCTGGTGTAAAAATCTTGGAGTCAAATTTGTGTGCAGACTATTTCAGTGTTGTCACAACACCTAGCTAGTGTACAGTACACAACCCTGTGCACTCAAAAGAACCCACAAATCCATTGGTATATGACCAGATGATGGCCACATGAATACGTGTAACACCTAGTTGCGGGTACAGCAAAGTGCAGTGAACTTGGACAAAGTACTGTGACAATCTGTCACAGTCCACACTCAGCTGTGAATGGGTGCCTCGTAGAGGATAAAAAAGACTGCAATAACTCGAGGAGCTGCATAATCCCCGGGGAGTTGAGATTGATAATACGATGTGCCGTTAAGATTGACATCCGGTGATCGAGGGAAAAAAATGTCAGCGCCTTGAGCACGTACTAGATACATGGATGTGTACACATGTGCGCTATATAAATATCCTGTAATAATCTTTTATATGCCTGTACATTTACCAATGTCAGCCATACTTACAGGGGGTAGTAGCCTCTGAACCTGTTTTTTCCACTGTTCTCGGGTCTCTGGGAGTCTTGGTATGTGGCTGTGAATCCAGTCACAAGTCGCTGTAATATATTCAATACACGGATGAGATATGTTCTTGTGGAGGGTACTTTGTTTCGCTTAGACAGATTTGGAGACAATATTGTGTCTTTACTATATTGTGAGTGAGTAACTATTAGCAATACTCCAACAACATCACTGCAGGGGACATCAGAAATGGTCTTCACCCACTGTGCCCATGTTTGGTCTTCGTCGTGACGAGCGAACGTTAAACCACTAACCCAACCCAACACCACCTTCACCATTTAGAGACAAACTAGAAAAGCAATGCAAAACCACGACATTGCAAAGTGGACTCACGTTATATTCTCTTTCAAACCCATCTTTCCTCTGTTTAAGCATCGCCACAGTTGCAGCAAGTTCAGGCACAGCAACGTCTCTGATGGCGTCTTCGGCTTCTGCGTTGTAGTAACAACTGTCAGGAGGTTGAACTTCTTCGTCCAAATCTTCTTCCTCATGACCTTCTTCTTCGAAACTCAGCTGTTTGCTGGATGCAGCTTGTGGGGCAGGTTTGGGTTTTATAGGTGGCTTCTGGTGGCCTCTTCTGTTCTCATCCAGAACTACGTTTACCAAAGCGCCATTCTCTGAAAAAACACCAAGTATGCATTGTATTCTTGATAATAAGAATTGTCGCAATGGAATGTATTGGCCATGTTGGTCAGAGCATGACTTATTGCATGATGCAACTACATCATAAGCAAATAAAAATGCAAAATAGCTAGTATGTCTCTGACCTAACAATATTTTAGCACTTTCTTCACTCGCCTACTCTAAAATTATAACTTACCCGCAAAGCCTTGGCCGTGATGAAATATTACCAAAGCACACCTTAAAACTAAACACAGTCCTAGCTTTCCTCTCCATTTAGTGCATTCATACAGACACAGCTGAAACTATATATTTAACATGTTTTGTGTTTCGCTGAACAAAATATTTTCTACATTATGTAATACTATTTGTTATAGGAGTTTCAACAATCATTTCAGTACTCCAACCTTGTGCTTCAGGGCGGAAGTGTGCAGAGTGTTTGGTCACATCGTTATCTTGAGACCTCCGTCTCCTCCTGTAACAGATTCAAGGGGTGTCACAGAGCTGAATGTAATTATTTATACAAACAAAACAAAACAAAACACACAGTACAGAAATAACCAAACACGACCAAAGGTACTAACATACACAAACAAAACGTCTGATTTGGGAAATTCAATCACACACCTGGGCATCGGCATTTTATATTTTATTGTTTCCATTCTCTACAAGAAATATCCAATGAATATCAAGACGAACATCAAATATAACCATGCTTCTTTTGACGTTTCGTTCTGAATTTCACAAGGTCATGGAATGAAGATCAAAAACCTGCACGAAGAATGAATATACAACTATTATGTAATCCTGTTTTTGGTTTCAGACTGAACGGATTGGTTTGAACTGCAAAATGTCATGCTGGTGCCTTTGCGTGTAATTCTTCCTTGTTTTTAAAGTTCTTTTTCACAGAGGTTGAGTAGAAGTGTGAACTGTCTAACACTGACTTTACATGTGGAGAGATGGCTGCTTGATGAAGTGAAAAGAAATTACCTGCCCACAAGAACCACAACAGCAACAACTATGGCAATCACCAGCAACCCTACAACTGTTCCTGACACAGCTGGTACCAAAACATTTGATGACTGCATTCTATCTAAAGGAGCTGAAAACATATTAATAGAAACTATACCAGTACAATTTGTTTAAGGTGTTGAAGGTATACTTTAAATTCAGGCATAAAACACAAAACATATACAGCATTGGGTACGTTTCTATGTAAATACAATATACGGAGAAGAATGTCATGTGACAGGGAAGCTCGTTTTACTTAGGGCAAGGGAAATTCTTGGTTAGACGTGACCGTAAGAATTGAGATAACTATAATATTTCAAGACAGCTATTTACATCATCATACATTCAGGTGTTTTGGAAATTAAGAACTATAAATGTACAGACATAGCAAAGGGAGAGTACTTTGAAGCAGAATTCAAAGGGAACCTGAGTATACAGGCGAGTTCACGGGTAGGATGCGACCAGAACACAGGTAAAACTTTGATCAGATTCAAATCCACAAAGTCAAAACGTCATTGTGTTATCCTGGTTGTAACAGTTAGTGGAACCCTCATACACTGACCAATGAAGGGAAATTACCCCAGTAACACCAAAACAACGGCTATAGTGCAACGTGTATAGTACAATAGAATGTTCTTTCCAAAATTGGATACAATTAGCAACTCCCACGTGGTCTCACACTGACTATACACAAGATGCAACTGAGATGAGCAATGATCTGCTTGAAAACTATTTCACCCGCAACAGCAACAGTATTGATAAGTGAGCTACGGTTTTCTATCAATGTAACAAGAGGCTCTTGCCTGTTTATTTATAGTCCGTTTGTCTCAAAACATCATACCCACTCTGTGAGGTTTTTGCAGAATTTTTGTCCCCATAATGAAAAAGTTGTTTAACAATCTATCATTAAAATATTGACACAGTTCACTGTCTGTTACGAGGGAGGAGTGCAGAGAAAGGGACAGCCAGGTGTTCGAGAACGGCTGGAGACGGCACAGCACAGGTGAATGAATATATAACTTTGTCTGTGAACGTGCTTCTCGAACACCTGGCTGTGTTGAATGTTAAAGATTAAAGTGATTAGCTACATATAAGTTAATGTTTTGAAACTTTGAACGATTAAAAATTATAATTCCTAAACATGTCGGGAAGCGCATTTACAATGTGCAGAACAAGCCCGCAAGTTTGTCAGAAATACACTCAGTTGGAATTGTTAGAGCCGTTATGTAAACAAACTCACGTGTGTTATTTGAATCTCTCACCGTTCATGGCATTATCCTAATTAAAAAATAATTTAGGCAACAAACTTTTGTTAACTATGTCCTTTGTATTTTAATATGACGATTTATATTTTTCATGATGTTTAAAACGAACCCATAATGTCATAAACAATTTAAGTACTCTTGATTATTCTTATGAAAGCACCGCAGTCGTTACGCGCGTTCTGATTGATTTGTCGTATTTTCACACATAACAAGAAAGAGGGGGACGAGTCTTACTGGAGGATACGGAAAGGGTGACGAAGGCGCCAATATGAAATCCTGCCAGAGGCCCACGAGGGTATCCTCCCAATACGCAGGCCTCCCAAAACGCAGACTCGTTAAAACAACGGGTTGCATCCCTGATTAGTAGGCTCTACCCTTGATTAAGAAAAATGGTATCACCCATGTAACGAGTTTTGATAATGTTGCAAGTGATCCTTTATTTCATTTCATTTCTTCTCTGGCTCTCTTCCTTATGACGCTGACAAATCTCACTGCTCGGTCATCGCTATGTGGATGGTTGTGTTCCGACGTGCCACGAACATAGTCTCTGACTGTTGTGCATTTGCCACTGCATGATCCGTCTACACACCTCCAGTACTAAGGGTGAAACGATACACCGATGTTCTGCTGCACCGCGATGCATACAAGAACGTCCTTACATTGAAAAGCCATGATACGTTATAGTATTTAACTTGCATTTGTGTGACTTTCTTACTTCTAACACTATCTAAACTGTTGTTAGGCTGAAAGCATGATCGAAGTGTTTTGGTCTGTTGAACAGTTAATTGTCGAATTTGATTATCAAAGACAGTGTAAAAAAATGTAAAAAAAATGGAAACTTAAATACTGAATATAGTATATGATGGTTCAGGTGTTAGGAAGTACTCTAGAATTAGTGAATAATAAACACTTGTTGACTTTCTATACTCATAGCAGTGTTACCGTTAGATTGTCTATCCAACTACTGACTTAAAGAAAGGATCATGTTCCATTAAGCTTTGTTACGAAACAAGCTTTAGACTCAAATCTTGTGGGGCACCTTTCTGGGACAAGACATACTCTACTTTTCCACGCCCGGCCATACCGTAATTTGACTATGTTGAAACCAGTGTTTCACATGTATGTATATGCATGTACTATACACAAGAGAAGGAAGTATAAGTGTTAGTGCGAACATTGCCTAAGCTAGTTGATTTATTCTTATACAAATATTTTGACTTGTTTTAAGGTTGTGTTTGAATAGGAATGTTTCATGGGAGCAGTTGAAGTATCTGATAGTCAAAACACAGCTTCTGCTCATCAAATTTATGAATAGCAGATTCAAGAATGGAGCAGTGCTTTAAGACAATGTTGTTGTACACTACTAAGCAGTGACTTAACATAACGATACTCCCTAATGGTAGGGGAGTGGACCTGGCCATTCTTTAATTAGGGGTGACCAGCATGGCCCAATTAATTAGTGTGCTACTTTTTTCTGCATTTTGGGAGGTCTGCGTTATGGGAGTAAACCCCCCACGAGTCGCTATTCGGCTTGTCCCAGAATAACACGACTGCGTCATGAATGTATTGAAAGGTCAGTCCCTAAGCCGCAACACGCGGATGTCCATCAAAGAGTTGCCAAAATTATTCGTTCGTTAAGGGAGTAAAAAGTGTTTTGTTTCAACTCACGTCACTCTCTTCATTTCACTTACTCGAGTCAGTGATGTCTTGCATAGTACATTTGGAGTTAATGAGCTTACCATAGATAAGTAGTAACCTTAATGTACCTTTTGTTCATTTCTGTTCTCATCATACCATAAAACACATTGTATCCAAACATTATAACAAACGATTAAGGCCTGCAGGTGGTCTAGGAGGTTCAGATCAATTACTGTTTTATTATGATGGGGTAAATAAAATTACTTACAAAGCTTCACAGAGCAGTGTGAACCGTTGTACCCCTCGGTACATCCCCAGGGACATCGTCCATCAACAGCATCACACGTCCCGTTACAGTGGCTGCAGTCACTCTCACAGTTCAACCCGAATTTCCCATTGTCACAACCTAAGTAACAAATAAAGCGTCAACTTCTATAGTTTCATGCTACACAAATGACGTGTTCGGGGTTCATTCCTATTCTTTTTCAACTGTGTCTATCCGTTCGCGGGACACCAATGCTTGATTTTGGCGGTTACTGACAGTCTCAAATAGAATAGAAACTGAAATTGTTTATCAATCTCGTAATTTCTGTCTGCTTTAATTTACACGATTGATGAAACTATTGCAATTATCATGTTACTTTTTTGTGTTGATTCTAATTATTGACTGTGTATCTTACAATTCAACGAACAATTTGTACATCGGTGTTTCAATTCATACCTTGATGAACCAAAAAATGTCAGTTTAGCAATTCTCTGTCAACACTCACCTGTCTGACACAGGGGGAGTTTCCAGCCTGCCTGACATCCATCTGGACAGGTTCCATCGATATGATGACATGTGATGTTATCAGCACAGTGGCCACAGTCAGAGATACAGCTGACGCCATACTTTCCCCTGGAACACTCTGTGTGGAATATCACATGACAGACAAGATTCATCTCGACATTTCAACACTACAGTTACAGCTGGTGACATACTTTCTCCTGGGACACTCTGTTTGGAATATCACATAGCAGATAAGATTCCTCTCAACATATCAACACTAATGTCAGCGTTTAGCAGTTTAGAGGCAGTATGTATCCAGCTTATATTTTGGTTGAAAACAGTGTTTTTATCTCCATGATGACGATATGATGAGAAATGGGAAAATTCTAGTCACCAACAAAACACAGACTTTTATGGTGTTACCTACTCCAACCCAATCTAACAACAAACATTCAAATGTTTAATCCAAAAATATTACTTTACGCACACAAAGATATATTGAAAGGAATATACACTGACTTTCTCAATGACAACAGTTTTCCTTTTCACTGGTTTTCATTCAACAATCATTCTTTTCTCATCACTATTTTCCCCAAAGGATAATCAAAAGTTATATCTCAGCATAATGAGGGTATCAACGCCTAAACACGAATCACTGAATCTGTAACAGATTCCGATGTTCAATTTGTAGTCAGCACCTAGTCAATGCCACAACCTCTTATACTTATATTAAAAATTATACTCTAAACTCATCATATTTATTGAGCAATGAAGAAAGTGATAAGATTCAGTCTTAAAGGAACATCCTGTGATACTGTTGAACGTTAAAGATATGACCACAAACTATTATATCAGACTTTATTTATTGGTTTAGCTGGTTAAAATGACACGTATGACATAGTTGGCCTGTATGTACGTATCATCTGGATTGTTACCAAGTTTCATATGCGATGAGTGAGTCCTTACTACGATTCCTGAGTGCCTAGCTGTTTTGTGGATTGTCTGTTACGTGGTTATGACCTGTATATCCTGCTTTTTTGATACATAGGCATTGGATACATTTTCATTAATTTAAAGACTCTTATATCATACCAAATCTATGGGGCATGATTTTCAGCGACCCATTCACATATTCAGTTTCTGTGGGTGATCGAGAGTTGTCATTCTCTGGTGTTGACGGATTGTGTGATATTAGTTTATGAAAGTTGTTCTTGCATGTAAACCACTGAGGCAGGAACTATATGTTCATATCACCTTGTGTGCAACTCTGCAGCGTCCATCCCGCCTCACACTCAGCGCCACAGGCCCCATCAGTAGGACAGGAGGAACTGTTACAATGTCTGTCTGCACATTTCAGAGAACAGTTAGTTCCGTAATAGCCATCTCGACAGTCTGGAGAGAAATAAGAACACTGAACTAGTTTTGAATCATATACTATTACTGTTTGTTTATTCTAAAACATTAGAAGCTAAATTATACATCTCTTTCTAGATTGAATGTTGTCTATATTACAATCAACTGCAATCAGTTCTTGCAACCAAGAAATCAACGCTGAAAGCACAATCGACAATATCATGAGTATGTGTTTATAAATTACTATGAAATAGTGAGGATACAGCTGTTCGTGAAAAGGTGAGACTGTTGTGACCCACCTTTGGCATGCGTCAAAAACAAATGCATGCAAGTATATATGGATGGCAACTTCTATCATTCTTGAGCACGTTGTTTCGATACAGGTTCTTGTATCGTTTTCAAGTATCAGAATACAAGAACCTGTATCGAATCGTGCTCGTGAATTAAAGAAGTTGTCATCCATATCTACTTGTTCTATCTGACTTCCAACTACTAAAATGCCACTCAAAGAAGTCAGTTGTTCTCTTGAAAATACGCAGAAATATATGGCGCAAGTCAAAATTGGGAACTGCATCGGACATCGGTTTTCTGCCATAAACCTGTGCGAGAGTTTTACTGAGGCTTTCAATGTTATAATATTGACTGAACACATTTTGAGCAAGAGTCGTGTGACGGTCTCTTGGATTTTGTGAAAAAGAGTATGAATAATATAACCGATAATAAGATGTCTTCCTCAACATGAGTATACACCATGACAGGTAAACACAGTGTCGTTAATGAACTCTAATCGGCGCAGTTTAGACATTACAAAATTAATGATGCATACCCATTCCGTAACAAAACAGTTGTTATCAGAGGTTTATTATGTTGAACGTAACAAATATGTTTTCGTGCAACTCTATCGTGGAGATTTTTCATTTTCTATGGTGCTCTCAAGTACGTCCCAGTGCAACGCGCTATGATCTTGCATAATTTCAGTAGCCGTATATCCAGTGGTTTCTGAAGTATAGAATAGTTACAACAAATTACGTCCCTGCATGGGCTGTTACTCATTTTTTACAAAATCATAATATAACTTCCTTAAATATTACCTACAATTCTATTTGACTATGAGTTCAAAATCAGGTTTAAAGTAACTTGGCCATATTACTCAGAAGGCAGTCATGAAGTGCATGACGTCAACACATTATCGGTAAAGAAGAAACATACTTTGTAAACAGTCATCTCCAGTGAAACCAGTGACACAGCCGTCGGGACACCTTCCAGTCACGTGATCACATGTATTCGATGTCGTCTGACAGTGACGGCTGCTGCAGTACTTCTTACATCCTTCTCCATAGCGCCCACTGGGACAGGCTGAAAGGCATGGCGAGTTATATGAGGAAGTATATGATTACGGTGTATAATTCTGTTGTAGGCAATGTAATTATTTTCACACAAATTTAATCTGGAATTCATGGTGAAGTGTATAGTTAGGTATAGTACGTTAAGGGCAATGTAATCGTTCATGCCACATGTAATATTGGGGTACAGGATGTATGCATTGCTACACTGACTCACTGGATTCATCATCTTTGTGATGCTCCTGTTTCTCAATCTACAGCCGACTAACATTTCAAAGTTTCTATCTGCAAAACACAAAATATAATGTACCCTAAAAACTGTCAGGGCTATTTCGCTAACCATGAAACCAAAGGCTTTCTGAAGCCAGAGCTGTCTCAGCTTGATTGATGTTTTCCCAACAATAAACATTAATAGAAAAAGGTATTCGTGAATACACTGAGTCGAACCTCATGCTGTTGTTCGCTGGATTGTCTGTTCCAGACCGGAACATTGCTGTGTGCGGCGTTCACTCACAATAAGTCATCCAAAATTATTGTGGTGATATAAGTCGCGTATTTACAATACCTAACCCCCACTATCTTCTCATTGTAACGTAGTGAGAGGGACCAACACAGTTTCCATACCAAACTACGTCAGTTGATGGAGATCAAAGTTCCTTGTGCGCGTTCTGTCACGTGACTACTATTGTCTGTACCATTTCGACCATTATTCCCCATCTACAACAACGGCTGCTGCCGTCGTCAATTCAACACCTGTCTTTTTTTGTCTTCCCTTGTCCACTAACCTGAAGTACCAACTGAGGGCAACAATACGAAACGCTCTTGGACACAACGATGATTTCAACAACCAAAGTACGGAAATATTATCAGTATTATCACTGAATTAATTCTTGGTTTTTGTTTTTAAATGGGATTCTCAGCAATATCCCAGCTATATGACGTAAATGAACGAGTCTGGTCCAGACATTCCAGTGGTTAACATCATGAACATCAGTGTATGTAATTAGAATACAATGACAAGCATCGACCGTCAGTCACCTCTTATGATGTAACCACAAATCGTTTCTTGCAAAGTGTCTTTCACTGTAAATGACCTCAGAATATTATCACCTGTTACTAGATATAAAATGTAAACAGAGGAGCAATGTCTGTTTAAGGTATCACAATGAGAACACTGTACATAATTCTTAAATATGATACAATAACCGATTCAGATATACAAAGACAAGTGGGCATTTAATATATATGTTGGAAAATAGTGGGATATATTACTTTGCCTGCAGTCAGTTCCCTGATATCCAGCCGCACATCCACCGACACACCGCCCTTGTGTCACATCACAGCTGGAGGCCATCTTGCAGTGACGTGCATCACAGGACTGGTCACAGTTGGCTTCATAATACCCGGTGGCGCATTCTTGTAAATATAAGCATAAATATATTTAAAGAATATATTCTCCGATACACAAAACTTTCATACACAAAAGTGTTGTTGATGGAATTATGCAAACGCAGCGACGATAAAAGGCATCCTGCAACAGATAAATATCACAACTTGAGGACACAAAACCAAGATGCAAGACTAGGGCACGTTCTGCATGTAACAAATTTTCAACGGGGGTCAGGTCGCCTGCAAAAACAGAGTCTGTTTTATGCTGTTTAACTGGCAAGTTATTCTGACTATGAAGCGACCTCGCGAAAAGCATAGTCTAGCCAATGGAAGCCGAAAAATTGCAATATTGACAATTTTATGGATAGCAACTTCTTTTATTTCACGAATTTCGATACAGATTCTTGCATCGTTACCAAAATGAAATTGACTTGAGGAGGAGGGTATGTATATATACAGAATATAAATAAAGAAAATACAGTGGCAACGTCATTTAAAATAACTAGGTAACAAGTTGATGAAACCAGGGAATTAACAAAGGGATTAGAGATGGAAGTGAGGGTTCTACAAATCAAGGGGTAATTTAGAAAGGACCAGATATTTACTCAGTTAAATTCGGCCATGCTGAGAAGTGCATAGGCTGTCCACGGGTTTCTGGCAAACAGCAGCGAGCACTAAGGTCTGATTTTACTGAAATTGGTTCTCCCCTCGGACAATATCTGTTTTTTAAGGAATCGATTCAAATGTATTGATATATATTCTGTAACCATATACTACCAACTAAATAGAGGGATCTAATTTATTTAACTAAATCTTTCATTTAGGTATGGTTCAGGTGGAAGTACCTATCTGATAACGTGGCTTAACATTTCAACACAAACCCTGAATCATAGCAAAATCTCACATCAAGCATGAACAGCACGCCCTGCATTAGCACAAGACAGTACCCAATGATCAGGTCTCTTCTCACCCTTTTGTTACCATAAGTTTTAACTCACTCGCGAACTCTCACCCTTTCAGTGTTGTCACAACCCGTCGTGTACAGTGCACAACCCTGTGCACTTAAAAGAACCCACGAATCCGTTGGTATATGACCAGATGGTGGCCACACGAATACGTGTAAACACCTAATTGCGGATGAAGCAACGTGCAGTGAACTTGGACAAAGTACTGCGACTATGTGTCCCAGTCCACCCTGCTGTGAATGGGTGCCTCTTAAGGATGAGAAAGCCGCAACAACTCGGTGCGCCTAGTGGCTGCAGAAGTTGTATGGCCCCCGGGGGAGTTGATATTGATAATACGATGTGTAGTTGAGATGTCAGCGCCTTGAGGATGTACTAGATACATGGGTATGTGCGCTTTATAAATATCCTATAATAATAAACCCGGCTCTGTGTAGAGCGCCAAAAGAGGAGGAGTCGATATCAACAGAGTGGTCCTGTGCACAGAGCGAAGGTCACGAATCGGACAGTCCTTGGATGGGTGACCGTGTTTGACAGCGTCAAGGGAAGATATATTGGCGAGGTAACCAGATTTATTTATGACCTAATGGAGTACGCTGAAACTTGCCAGATACCTGGCCTACTTCTTCTTTTTCGATTCAGTAGATATACACTATCTCAGTAACGTATTAAAGATTTTTAATTTTGGACACAGTATCTCACATTGGATAGAAACATTCTATAATGATATTGAATCTAGAGTCTTGGTAAATGGATTTGCGTCAATTCCTTTTAAAATAGGTCGGGGATGCCGCCAGGGGGGACCCGCTAGCGCCGTACATCTTTGTGTTGTGTGTAGAAATCCTGGGTATCATGATACGAAACAACAAAAATATAAAGGGGATTAAACTTGGAAGTATAACATATCTTCTATCACAGTTTGCAGATGATACAACACTTTCATTAGACGGATCAGATAAATGCCTCTATGCAGTTTTGAGTACATTAGAACTATTTGCCCGTTTTTCAGGTTTAAAGTCAACGTAGATAAAACTAAACTAATATGGATAGGCTCCAAAAAGAGATCCCGATATAAGATGTGTAAAGAATGGAATTTTGACTGGTCTTAAACAGACTTCACGCTCTTGGGATTACATTTCGATATTGATCTTGATAATATAGTTGAAATAAACTACAACGAAAAACTAGCTCAAATTGAAAGGCAAATGAACACATGGTCAGCTCGTACCTTAACCCCGTACGGAAGAAATACTGTTCTAAAATCACTTCTACTACCTAAGCTTAACCACCTATTCTCAGCTCTACCAAATCCCAAAAAATGTTTCATTGAAAGACTTAAAAAAAGTGTTTTAATTTCATATGGAGAAACAAACCTGACAAGATTAAAAGAGATGTAATGATGTTAAACCCAGAGCATGGGGGGATAAAAACTCCAAATATTAGAAAAATTATATCATCACAAAAACTAAAATGGATAAAGAGAATCAGCGGTCATGACCTCAAATGGACGCTTCGCTTCACCAGTCAATTTAAGATCAGGACACAATTTTTACTGACGGATAGCTACCATATACAAAATGAAATAATTCCCTCTTCAACTAACTCCTTTTGGAGAGACATATTTCTAGAATGGTCGAACTTTATATCCATGTGTAAAAGAGAAATTGTAAATGAAGAAGAAATACAATGCCAATCCTTATGGAATAACGACAATATCAGAATTGATAGCCACCCCTTTCTGTATCATGAGTGGTAGAAAAAAGGTGTCGTTTTTGTGAACGATATAATACATGAAGAAGGCAGACTGCTCACATATAAAGAATTTTCCGAAACGTTTTCAATAAAAACCAATTTCTTAACGTATGAATCGGTTAAAAAAGCAATTATAACATATGCTCGAACACTGAATATAAAGCAATTTAAAAGGAAATTAAGCGAACCAATCTATCCTTTTAATATCACAAAAATTTACATCATAACTGGGTGTAAAAAACTATACGCCTCCATATTGAACTCAAAATTTGTTTGGTTGCCAAGTTTTTCAAAATGGGAAAGAGTTCTTTAGAGTGATTTTACTGAAAACGACTGGAAAATCTTTAACATTATTGGGAATAAATATTCGCGAAGCACAGATTTGAAATGGTTGCAATATAGAATTATCCACAATATCCTCCCAACAAAACAACTACTTTATACAATGGGATACACATCCTCACCAATATGTCCATTGTGTGAACAAGAAAGAGAAACTATCAACCATATGTTATGGGAATGTGAATTTGTTTTTAAATTATGGAAAGAAGTAGAATCATGGTTGAACTCGGTACAGTTACAGCTTGAACTTACAAATAAAATCGTTATATTGGGAATGAAACGAAAAAACAATAATCCGATTAATGAAATCATTTCAGTTGTCAAACATTATATCTACAGATGCAGCATAAATGGTTTCAAACCAAAGTTAGAATATTTAAAAAATGAAATTGTCCGTCACTATGATATGTCAAGATATGTTTACTTATCTGCGGGAACTGAACAATTGTTTTTTCATTATTGGTCATCATTACATCTATTACTTGGAAGATAATCCAGCCAATTATACTTTTTCAGCCAACTGTACATTTTCATACATGTATACATATACCATTGTATTATTAAGAAAGTTATCTATACATGTTTGCCTGTACATGAAATATGGAAAATAAAAAAAATATTTAAAAAAATTAAATAAAAAAATAAATAAATAAAAAAAGTGTTTGCCTGACTCCTGAGAGATTCTAGGATTTCCGTCCTACCCCACAACGAAGCACATGTGACACATGTGGTCTCACCTTAGGCAAGTGAGTACCCGGTTGGATAAAGTCATGTGACCTTCTAGCGCCTAACAGGCAGCTTCGGTTATACGGGTAATAATAATCAGGTTGTTAGCACTTTGTTGCGTGGAGATTAGCGCATTATAAGACTTCTCATCATTATTATTATTAATCACAATAATAGCATTATGTTATTGCTGTCGTCTTGCAACCAAAACTTGAGAAAGGTACAACTCCATAGTGTACATCAACATCAATAGGCTTACAACATTCAAGTACTTTGTAAAGATTCCAAGATGTTAGGTTGGATATTACCATGTTGGAATTATCAGTGACCAAAATGTAATCGTATTTAATTTCCTGAACTATATGTTGCTGTGTTTGTTCATGCATTTACATGGGTTTTCAAGTGACGATGTCACTAACTTAATTATATTACTAATGAAGACTAAATTCATAAAAATGTCTTTTGAAAACAAAAATATGCATGTTTGGCGCCATTGCCTGGTGAAGTTAAAGACAATTTTGACAGCATAAAATGTCCACAAGACCCCGATTCCGTTATAAAAACACATTTTAAAAGTAGGAGGTGACGTAAGTGACCTCAAACATTACCATGTGTACAGTATTGTCCATGGTATCCAGCCAAACATCCACCGATACACTTCCACTGTATTCCACCACAGGTATTCCAACTGCAGTGAGTGTTACTACACAGTTGGTTGCAGCTGCTTCCATAATATCCGGAGGCGCATACTGCAAAACATAAATGTCGTGCCTGAATCTATGTATTAAGTACAATCTATGTCTCATCCCCTCAGTATGCTTATTTCCAATCAGATAAAAGGTCAGTATGTTCTACATGTAACTGATGGGATACTGATTCTTGTGATTTTCGCCTTCAATTATTTCGGATTTTCTACCACAGTTTAAGGCAAAATCAGTGGCAATGTGACTGGGCTTTCATTGTCGTAATGAAAGAGGGACTATACTATCAAACACAAGCTGCAAGCAGTTAATCCATAGTCTGTGATCTGACATATCAACTGGACTTGGCGTGCTAAATGGATGGAGTCTCTAATAAAGGATGTGTTCAATCCCAAAATGGTGTTGCATTTTCAGATAGTTACCAACATAAATTTAACAAAAATTACAAAGAAAGGTACAACAAAGTTATGAATAAGTTATGGCACAATGAACAACGTGTATAAATATACTCTATCAAAACATAATTACCTCTTTATCACACAATATTATTCTAAAACCTGAAAAAACCTGTTTTTATCGCACACAGCTAGTGAATATTACTGACAGTAGTATGATTATGTCCCAGTAACCGTCTAAAAATAACAAAAGCACGACTTATCAAATTGTATAAACTGACAGTGTACATCGACGTACAATCCTGTACATACCTGTACAGTCTGGTCCTGCCCACCCTGGTTGGCAGCCTGCATTTGAACACGCCCCTGTGTAAGAAGGACAGGAGTCCCCTGTGTTGCCACAATGACGGGAGTTGCAGTACTTGCTGCAGCTGTCTCCATAACGACCAGACACACATTCTGAAATACATGCTCATTTGAATAACGCCACTTATCTGTTACATATGGTCAAAAGGTGACTTACAAAACGGTACAAATCGACAGTGTGCATCGACGTACAATCCTGTACATACCTGTACAGTCTGGTCTTGCCCACCCTGTTTGGCAGCCTGCATATGAACACGCCCCTGTGTCAGAAGGACAGGAGTCCCCTGTGTTGCCACAATGACGGGAGTTGCAGTACTTGCTGCAGCTGTCTCCATAACGACCAGACACACATTCTGAAATACATGCTCATTTGAATAACGACACTTATCTGGTACATATGGTCAAAAGGTGACTTACAAAACGGCACAAATGGACAGTGTGCATTGACGTACAATCCTGTACATACCTGTACAGTCTGGTCCTGCCCACCCTGTTTGGCAGCCTGCATTTGAACACGCCCCTGTGTAAGAAGGACAGGAGTCCCCTGTGTTGCCACAATGACGGGAGTTGCAGTACTTGCTGCAGCTGTCTCCATAACGACCAGACACACATTCTGAAATACATGCTCATTTGAATAACGACACTTATCTGTTACATATGGTCAAAAGGTGACTTACAAAACGGTACAAATCGACAGTGTGCATTGACGTACAGTCCTGTACATACCTGTACAGTCTGGTCCTGCCCACCCTGTTTGGCAGCCTGCATTTGAACACGCCCCTGTGTCAGAAGGACAGGAGTCCCCTGTGTTGCCACAATGACGGGAGTTGCAGTACTTGCTGCAGCTGTCTCCATAACGACCAGACGCACATTCTGAAATACATGCTCATTTGAATAACGACACTTATCTGGTACATATGGTCAAAAGGTGACTTACAAAACGGTACAAATCGACAGTGTGCATTGACGTACAATCCTGTACATACCTGTACAGTCTGGTCCTGCCCACCCTGTTTGGCAGCCTGCATTTGAACACGCCCCTGTGTCAGAAGGACAGGAGTCCCCTGTGTTGCCACAATGACGGGAGTTGCAGTACTTGCTGCAGCTGTCTCCATAACGACCAGACGCACATTCTGAAATACATGCGCATTTGAATAACGACACTTATCTGTTACATATGGTCAAAAGGTGACTTACAAAACGGTACAAATCGACAGTGTGCATTGACGTACAATCCTGTACATACATGTACAGTCTGGTCCTGCCCACCCTCGTTGGCAGCCTGCATATGAACACGCCCCTGTGTCAGAAGGACAGGAGTCCCCTGTGTTGCCACAGTGACGGGAGTTGCAGTACTTGCTACAGTTGTCTCCATAGCGACCAGACGCACACGCTGAAATATACCTACAGTTGAGTGACGTCACTTATCTCTTACGTCACTCGTGTATTCAAATGTGAACTGCTTAAACTGCTCCAACTGCAGTCAGGCCATTGCATGATGATTAAATCTTGAACAGCAATCTCAGCAGCGACCGTGTCTGCTTTAAGATAATATTTTTATTCTTTACTTTGCTCTGCAAAAAGATATTCAAGCGGATTCATTCGCGGAAAATATGAATCAGTGTACTGAGACATGTTTAACTTTTTTTTGTCCTCAATTCAATTATTTCTGTAAATGAGGCATAATTGAATTTAAGTGAACCCAAAGTCAATTTGATCTAGCCAAAGAATTAGGGAGAAGAACAAATAAACCTTTTCGATTGTAAGACGATAATGAGATGACCATTTGCAAGAAACGGTTTCTGTCATGCTGTAAGAATGTTTTCCGTGGTATCAGGAGGCGGATGCTAGAAACTATTAACGTTCTAAATTCATCCAAGTTGAGTTAGTTCAGTGTGTGAAGAGGAATGCTTGGTTTCAGTAAGATACAAGGTCAATATGCACAAAATTCGTGTAGATGATGGCATTTTGATTTGGCCGTCAGTTCCTTCGGAGTGTCTGTCACGATTCAGAGAACTATAAACCATTTCATGAATAGCAAAGCCCTTGATCTGACACGTGCCGGCGAGCTAATTGCAAACTCCTTACAGAAATCACAAGCATGGTACTCTCTTCTTTTTCATGATGTCATTCATAAATTGGAAAAGCCTATGGTCATTTATCACAAGCAGTACCTAAACATTACAAGTTCCATCTGCCTGATGACAACACATTAATGAGGACACGCCTAACAGGCAGACTGACCCCAATATACACAGTAGGGTAGTATGTTGCGAAGTGGGGCTGAGATGCAAGCTGTTTAGAAGCTGGCTCATCCATTTGTGAATATGGTAACCCTTAAGAAAGATACGACCAGTTTTGTAAAGCTGGGATCTTCTCTGTAAAAACAAACTATTGCGATGTCACATTACTACATACTCATTGTGACAGCAACTTTTCATTGGTAATCTTCTAAATGAATGTTTGGACATGAACCAGAGAAAGAGTATGTTCAAATGGTCATACAGCAACCAAATAGTTGTTCGAATCCCACGAAATTTACGAGAACATGACACATGGGCACTTTAAATTGACTATTTCAACACAATGGGTACAAGGGTACAAGTCACAACACCCGTCCATTCACCGTTCTGGAACAAGTTCCACGCCGGGAGTGCTATAGGTATGTGTAAGTCCAGTACCTCGTGATGTTCAACGTCCATAGAGCCATCATATGGCACTCATGTCAACGTGGGGCGATGGGGTAGTCTAGTGGTTAAAGCGTTCGCTCGTCACGCCGAAGACTCGGGTTCGATTTCCCACATGGGTACAATGTGAAGCCCATTTCTTTTGAACCTCGCCGTGATATTGCTGGAATATTGCTAAAAGCGGAGTAATACTAAACTCACCCACTCACTCACTCACTCATTCACTCGCTCATGGCAACGTTTTCAGCAAATAGACCGACCCTGCAGTGGCCACCCATCAGTAACGACCCCACATCAATACCGATAGATTCAATCCATGCACCTCCCACACAGACTCCAGCAACATACTCTTACAGCCCATGCCACACCTGGCAAGAGAAGGTTATCTGCGAGTTCGATGACATCTACGCATCGCTAAGCCCGACGGCCAATTGTAGCACCAGATCATCGACGTTGACGTTTCCAACGAAACAGACAACACAGGCTATGGAGCCCGTCAGTGCAGAAGAGTTCTCTTTACCATGAGTCACGTTTCCTTCTCCACCGAGGCGACGGAAGACAAGACACGTGTCTTAAGGCGCACGATCAAACGTTACGTCAGGGCATGTATTCTAGAAGGGGATTGGTTTGGAGGTAGGGCGTTATGATCTGGGCTGAGATAACAGCTGTATCAATGACGCCAGTGATTGTGAATGCTCAAAAGTACCCAGGCAAGAGTTTTCAAAAGGCCGCTTTACCATTTTTTGCATCAGAACAGCAGTATCTTAATCATAACAATATCAATGTGTTATCCTGGCCCGCAGTAGCACTTGCCTTTGGGTATATTTGAAAAAAACATTCCGTAATTGAAGCTATTCGTACTACGTTATAATGAACCTTTTCGTTATCTTCTAAAATCCATGAGCACAATGCATCACCCATAATCGTCAGAGTACTGCAATTAACAACGCTCATTTCTGTATAAGCTTAATAGTTGTAATACAGAATAGTTTCTGTAGTATAGGTATCATACATTACTCCCCTAACTATCACTTCTTTGGGCGAAAATGTTGCTTTAACATCCTTGTATTATATTTTGTGAGTAAACAATGTGATATTTAAAATGGGAAGAAAATACTTGACTCATTGAAGACACTCCAACTATTTCATTATTTTGTTTAATATGTTCAAATTTAGTCATTGATTTCTGCATTTAGTAAACAATAAGCAACAAGTCAAAGACAACTGGGCAGTATTATAGTGAATATGTCCCTTGTTTGTACTTTCATCTTATTAAATATAGAGGATATTTCATGTTTCCAATGCAATATCAGTTACCTCTCATCTCATAATGGAGAAATGCTGATATTTGCAGAGATATTACACTGGAAACATGACAAATCCCATATATTCGATGCTTCAGTGATGGAAAAGAGGCATGTCCAGTGTTGCACTGTCACCAGGCAACGACTATTAAATGATGTCAGGTTAATTGTAATAGTGAGGTAACCGCATTCTACAGGTGACGTCAACATCTTTATGATATTATTACAGAGTTTAGAAAACTCAGTCATTCACTCTTATGATTCACAATAATTATTCTTCTCTTACAATATCAAAATTTGGATTTTTTGTTAATCCTAACGACCCAAATGTTGAGACAAACACTTAAAAAAATTGAAGACTTTCTATTTTATTCTTATTTTTATTTCGACCACCGACCCTAGGTTTTTTGGAAAAAAATCCGTAAACCAATTAATAAAAATAAACGGCCTTATGGTCGGTCAATCGATATACTAATGTCGTCTTTCTACGACGTGTCAACTACAGATATAGCTAAGCCATGAGGTCAAAAATGTATCTGATTCACATTTTCTACAATTGGGTAACATCTGGCAAATTACATTTATGCTGTCAGGTGACTGTAGGGATCTGAGTATTATGTACCATGTGCAAGTATTTGTGCCATGGCCCAATAGACGATTCATTTTCCCATACGGTGTGCAACCAGCCATGTAAACAGGGGCATGCTATTCGTCGTGTCATAGGACCTGCGGCTCTACACTCTGCATATTTTAATGCTCTCCAAAATGGACAATAGAACAAGGGCATAGTAAATGCAGTTACTGTAAGTGAGTGAATATGGTTTTACGCCGCTTTTAGCAATATTCCAGCAATATCAGGGCGGGAACACCGGAAATGGGCTTCACACATTGTACCCATGAGGGCAATCGAACCCGGGTCTTCGGCTTGACGAGCGGACGCTTTAACCACTAGGCTATCCTACCGCCCCAAATACAGTAAGAATAGTTTGGGACGAAGGGAACGTTAGACTTGCTTTAAATTACATAAAAATAAGACATAATAAATATAAACGTTCAGATACATTGATACAAACAATGGCTATACCATGAAGGTTGAATACTGATGTCACCCAGACCAATAGGTTATAGTAAGTAGGTCTGTAGAATTTGCTTTTCAGATTTACGTAGCATGATCTTCTCTTGTCTCCATTACATATACCAAATACCCATACATACCCAGCCAGTCTACGATTAGATATACTTACCTGGTCTACGATAAGACATACCCACCTGGTCTACGATCAGACATACCCACGTGGTCTACCATCAAACACACCCACCTGGTCTACGATCAAAGATACCCACCTGGTCTACGATCAGACACACCCACATGGTCTACGATCGAACTTACGCACCTGGTCTACAATCAGACATACTCACATTGTCTACGAACAGACACACCCAGCTGGTCTACGATCAGACATACACACCTGGTCTACGATCAGACACACCCACCTGGCCTACGATCAGACATACTCAACTGGTCTTAGACCAGACACACCCACCTGGTCTACGATCATACATACCCACCTGCTCTACGATCAGACAAACCCACCTGGTCTACAATCAGACACATCAACCTGATCTACGATCATACATACCTACTTGGTCTACGATCAGATACACCCACCTGGTCTACGATCAGACAATCCCACCTGGTCTACGATCAGACATACCCACTTGGTTTACGATCAGACAAACCCATCTGGTCTACGATCAGACACACCCATCTGGTCTACGATCATACACACTCACCTGGTCGACGATCAGACACACCCACCTCGTCTACGATCAGACACACACACATGGTCTACGATTAGACACTCCCACCTGGTCTACGATCAGACATACTCACCTGGTGTACGATCAGACACACCCATCTGGTCTACGATCAGACATACCCACCTGGTCTACGATCAGACACACTCACCTAGTCTACTATCAGACATACCCACCTGATCTACGAGCAGACACACCCATATAGTCTACGATCAGACACATCCACATTGTCTACGATCAGACACATCAACTTGGTTTACGATCAGACACACCAACGTGGTCTACGATCAAACTTACGCACCTGGTCTACAATCAGACACACTC